TCTCTCTCTCTCTCTCTCTCTCTCTCTCTCTCTCTCTCTCTCTCTCTGTTGGATGGTTGATCTGGAGCCTGCAATGGAGCAAGCTGGCCCCAGACTTCTCCAAGTCTACATTTCTTTTCCTCCAATTCTTACGTGTCCAAAGACAGGGAACTACAGACATGCCTTTGTAGGAGGGTTACCTATACAAATTTTAAAGTAAAGATCAAGTAAAATGATAAAAACAAAATTCCCCCAAATTAAAAATAAGTCCAAAAAATGCCTCCTCTCTCACTAGAAAACCCTAACACAAATGACTAATGTTTTAAACAATTTTGGACTGGCAACGAGCAATCCAACATATTTCCACTGGAAAGGCTTGGCTTTTTCTTAGTTATCTTCTTTTTTCCTGTTTCTTAATGAAGCTTATCATAGCTTTCTAATATGTTACAATATCATCTTCATTTATGGTTACATTTAATTTAAAATTTTACTTCATATATCCAGAGCCACAATTCAAACTCTCTTAGACAATTTTTAACAGTAAGTTAAATCATTTACCATTACTACACTGCCCTATTCTTGGCCCACTAGCTATGAAAAAAAAAAAAAGTTACTGAGTTTTTCTTCCCTTCTTCCTTTATACAAATTTTGGTTAAATTCTTGACAGCTGTCTAAAAATTCTACAAAATAATGCAAGCACTATGCACTGAAATATACTGGTTATATTTAATATACTATAGCAATAACATGGGAATTGGAGAATTTCCTGTTTAAGTCTAAAATATATTTTAGACTTGAATTAAGAATCCAATTCTATCCTATGATCTAATAAAGATTTTACTGGTCACTAGGAAGTTAATGCATGACTTCTCTCTCTAAAATATCAACCAGAACATTTTTGATGAGAACTCAAATTTGAATTTGATGGGATGAAGTCAAGATATTGCTCCAAAAATTTTCTTACAAATTCCACCCTTCCCGGGGCGCCTGGGTGGCTCTGTCGGTTGATCGGCCAACTTCGGCTCAGGTCATGATCTCAGTTTGTGAGTTTGAGCCCCGCGTTGGGCTCTGTGCTGACAGCTCAGGGCTTGAAGCCTGCTTCAGATTCTGTGTCTCCCTCTCTCTCTCTGCCCCTCCCCTGCTCACACTCTGTCTTTCTCTCAAAAATAAAGAAAGATTAAAAAAAAAAAAACCCACCAAATTCCACCCCCCTCACTTTGTACTGAATAAGTACAAATCTATTACTCCTTAAGGTTTAGTAAAATACTCACTTTCTAGGCCAAAGTACTAGTGGGTAAATTTTGAAAATGAAAAAATATGTCTTTACTTTTATTACATAATAATTGCCAGGAACAAATATCCTATGATTCATTTATTAGGCATTTATTAGGAACCTTCTTCTTGGGTATTAAAAGTAATGCTGCGTAAAGTACCAGTCTGCTAATGTGCTTGGGCCAGAATGTAAATCAACACACTTCCTTCTTTAACAAACTCTTGTTGTATAAAAAATGTCAACTAAACCACTGTGTTTAGTGACACAAATATGCCAGCTCTTTATCCTATCCTCAAACAAACCACTCTGAGTAGCAATGCTGTAGAGGATTCAAATAGAACAAAATATGGCCCAAAAAGCCTCTCAAGAAGTTTACAAGTTAAGGGAAGTGACTGATTCATCTATATGTGTAACAGTAATACATATAGAGTACCTTCGGACAAAGATACACATAAACTAGCTACGAGTTCAATGAAAAGAGAAATCATTCACCACTAAAGATTAAAAAACAAGGTTAAAAAGTGGAGTGGTATTTGAACTAGGTAGACATAGGTAGGAGAATGAAATAAGCAAAAGGTTAGAAAAACTTGGGTAGACTGAAAATTTTAGTTTGGTGGGAAACAGGATACGTGAAATCTAGTGGAAATAAAGCATAAACCTAATAGAGGCTGACAATAGTACTCTCTGCATTTGGTAGGTAATGGTACGTGAAAATTTTTTGTTTTGTTTTACAAGGATGGGAAAATGAATGATCAAAGCTGCACTTTTGGAAAAATCATTTCTAGCAACAATGTAAAGAACGGAGAGAAGAGAGATGAGTAACAGAAAGGGGAAACAAATGAGATAAGGCTATAAAATGATTCAAAGTTGAACAGTTTATACTTATACCATAATTCAGTACACATGCAGGATGAAGGCTACTCCCACCCAAAACTCAGTGATGCTCCACATTAAACTTATACGAAATACTAATTATCCATGCAACACCCTAACTTCAGACCAACTTAGTTAAATAAAAAAAAAAAAAAAAAAAAAAAAAAAAAAAAAAAAGCCAAACTGTTGTTTAATATTAAGAAGCTAAAACATTTACTTAATTGACATCCTAATGGACTTGATGCTTTGCTGTCATAAGGACTGGGAAAAAGGAAGTCTAATAGTTGTTATGTTCCTAAAATTCAGTTAACTTAATAATAGAAAAGTACATCAGAAATAGAACATAAATGTTATGAGTTTAGAATAACTGAGTTTCTAAGCACTTACCATTCTCAGGCTGAGTTTTCTTAAGTGAATCAATGAGAGTACTGACTGCTTTTAAAACAAATATAATTTCTGTTACTTGTTGCCTAAAAAACAGATGGGAAATTATTTCCATCATGATTTTAAGATATGCCATGCCACTAGGTTTATACAAATAGATATATTTTGGAAAAATACTGAACACAATACAAAGTTAATTTTAGTTTTAAATTCTTATTAAAATATTTTATTAACATATACTTCAGCGTACAAATAAGACTTATAGTTATTTTTACCATAAGTTATCAATTTCAAAGGGAGGGGGAGGCAAACTATTCAGGCAAATCTAAATTTGTAAGATAATTGTAAAATATTTCATATAATTATTTAACATTAAGACATTTTATAATATATGCTTTTAAGGCTTCTCTACAAAAATGTTTTTTTTTTTCTTTTTAACTACTTAGCACCAAAAGGGATTTGCCAAAGCTTAAATGGAAATAAAATCCACTATTACCTCCTGGCACATATTTTATCATGCTGTTAAAAGAACATTTAAAATTATAATAGTACTTGTTTGATTTTCTAATACAACAAAAAGAAACATGCTCAAAACTAATCCTAAGGTGTCTCCTATTTGGAGACATCAGTAATGAAGAATGAACTTGGGAGTAAAGGATGAACAAGAGTAGCTTCATTCCCTTCTTTATCCCTACATAGTTTCCTCCCTTTCCCCTCATTGCTGACACCAATCTGTGTTTTCATTCTGCAGAAAAAATTTTTCTAATACTATGACAGAGTACTATTTCAAGCCTCCCTTTGTAAGCATAGAAGAAGTTACTGTGTTGCAATGTAGTTTAGAAAATAATGTAATGATGCTGCATCAAACACAGGATGATACAATACAATACTTTATAGGACAACTATAAGTAAGACTCAATTTAAAAGCAATAAACACTAAAAACATGAAAAATGAAGGAAAAGCTGCTTTCTGAAGTCAAATAATATGTTATAATCTAGTAAATAAAAATATTCCAAGCAAAGCAACTTTATTACTGCTTTTCCAAGTATACTTCAGAGATTATGATAAATCAATTTTCAATCATGCCCATAACCAAATTACTAACACCTGTCTTTGGAATGTTTTTATATATAAATCTGAATACGAGGAGGTATAATTTATATTTTAGAAATTCAAAATATAGTGGATCTTAAAAATAGAAATACAAATGACTATTAAGCATTGGTAATTAAAAATAAAACAAACTACCATGTAACTATTTTTCATTCATCAAATTTAAAAAAGATAAAATAAATCATAAAATGGCAAATAATTTTAAAATGCTAAAAACTGAGAAAAGGACATTTATATACTTCTGGGAGAATGTAAATTGGTAGAAATTTCTGGTAGGCAATTTGGAATACATATCAAAAGCTTTAAAAATGTTTTTATCTTAGGGCACCTGAGTGCTCAGTCAGTTAAGCCTCTGACTTCAGCTCAGGTCATGATCTCACGGTTTACGAGTTCAAGTCCTGCATCTGGCTCTGTGCAGTCAGCTCAGAGTCTGGAGCCTGCTTCAGATTCTGTGTCTCCCTCTCTCTCTGCCCCTCCCCCTGCTCACAGTTTGTCTCTCAAAAATAAATAAACATTAAAAGAAATTTTAAAAATGTTTTTATCTTTTAAAAAAAAAATTTTTTTTTTTAACGTTTATTTATTTTTGAGGCAGAGAGAGACAGAGCATGAATGGGGGAGGGTCAGAGAGAGGGAGACAGAGAATCTGAAACAGGCTCCAGGCTCTGAGCTGTCAGCACAGAGCCTGACGCAGGGCTCGAACTCATGGGCCGCGAGATCATGACCTGAGCCGAAGTCGGCCGCTCAACCGACTGAGCCACACAGGCGTCCCAAAAATGTTTTTATCTTTTGACAAGTAATTCTAACTCCAAAAATTTATTATAAGTAAATAAGAATGTGCACAAAGATTTGGGGCTGATGATTTACCTCTCCAATAGTACCTCAAGAGATGGACCCATAATGATTTTTGAAACTCTATCCTGACTTTGATAACTCTATCTTCCAATATTATTTTGTTTCATTTGTTTTGCTTTAAACTCTAATTCCCACATAAAAAAAAATAGATTGGTGACATAACTCAAATTTATGATTACATTTTTTGATGAATTCTGATTTCTATCCCAACTTTGATTAGCTTTGGCTTAGCAGAAAGACCTAGAGCCCCTTCCACTGACACAGCTTGGCTAAGTGGAAAGCGAATTAGTTTAGGAACAAGGGCTAAATTAAGCAAACTAGATAAAAAGAAGATCTAAAATGCTAGCTGTCTTGTAGAGAAAACTAAAAAAAATTGTAAAACTAACTAGGAAGTTCCCAGAGTATGATTTATCAATTATTTTCTCTCTAGAGAGATCCACACCTATGTGCTCATACAGATCCACAAGTCCTTATCCAGAAATCCTTGAGAAAACATATTTTAGAATTCAAAATTTTCTTTTAAATCCAAAAAGGAAACTTGGTACACATATCATATATTACTTAACCTTCATGACGAGTCTGAAAAAGCATCCCAAAATAAAATGCATTAATACATCTGCAGCAAAACTTATAAATATTTACACCATATAAAATAAATAAAAGTATAAACAGCTTCAGGTTACATTCACATCACTTATAAAAACAACTTGGTGCTCAAAGCTTTTTTTTTTTTAATTAATAACTATGACAGCATATTCCCTTCATCTATAAAATAAAATCTATACCTTGGAAGAGGGCATTTACCACTTAATCTTTCATCCTCTATATAGCGATGAAGTACATCTTGAGACCTCTTTAAAAGTACTGAGAGTGCCATTCGTGAGATATAGCCTTCTTGAGGTGTTGTGACTTTGTTACTGAAGGAAAACTGGAGCAATGTTTCAAAACACATTTTCGAAAATTCCTCTCTCAAACGAATATCAATCTCTGCTTCTGTAAAATTAACAACTTTTGATGGTTAATAGGAAGTTAAATTAATAACCTTAATGATAACAATTTAGCAAACTAGGAACAGAAGGAAATTCTTCAACTGATGAAGAGCATCTATGAAAACCTTCCAGCTAACAGCATGTATATAACAATTTTCCCCCTTTCAAGATCAAAAACAAGGCAAGACTGTCAACTCTCATCATTTCTACTTAGTATTTTTCTTGTCTTGTTTTTTTTCATACTCTTTGACAGCACTATAAAATACTTTTCAATGGTTTGCCACAAGGTCAAGCTTGTGATTTTTCTTTCTTTCTTCTTCCTCCCTCCCTTCCTACTTTCCTCTTAGCAACATCTTTCTAGAGCCAGACCTGAGCTCTATTCTGGACTAGCTGCTCTCTAGACCTGCTGTCCCGCTATCTCCTAGAATTAGTCTTTGTCATAGCCTGGGAATTGTTTTTATTCTCTTATTGTATACCCCACTTCCTAGATCCATGCCTTCCATTTCCTTGGCTTACTCCTTTGTTTTCATGGAGCTCATTCTAGAATGTCTCAGAAAGACTATTCTGAATAGGAAGTAACATTTTTGAGAACTTGCATTTCTGAAAATATCATTACTTTACTGTGGTACTCAAAGAGTTGTTCCTTAGCAGCATCAACATCACCAGAAAACTCGTTAGAAATGCAAATTCTCATATCCCACCCCATACGTACTGAATCAGAAGCTCTGAGAGTACAGTTCAGCAATAACTTGCCCTTGCAGCTGATTATAATACATGCTGACATTTGAAAATTACCATTCTACACTTATACTCTGCCAACAATGGGCCCACATTTAAAACTCCTTCTTAAAAATCCTTTCCATTTCTAACTCTCAAACTACTTCATCAACGTCTTTTAGCATACGGTGCTGCTACTGAAAAGTCCAATGTCCTCTTGATACAATTCTTCTGTGTTGGACTTTTTTCTTTTCTTTCTGAAATCTTGTAGAATCTTCTCTTTATCCCAGGTATTTTGAAATTTCCTAACAACATGCCTTCTTGTGGATCTTTTTTCTTTCACTGTTCTGGTCACTGAGTGGCCATTTTTAATTTGGAGACTGATTTCTTCAGTTTATGTATTTAATAATTTCCTCTGTTAGCTTTGCTCTATTTTCTCTTTCTGGAAGACCTATTGTCAGATGTTAGACCCCTTGGATTCATTTTATTTCTTTCTTCTTATGTTGTCTACTTTTTGTCTTTCTCTACTTCCTGGTTTACCTCCTTATATTTTCTTGTAACCCTTCACTGGACTTGTTATTTCAGCTGTCACATTTTTAGTTTCTATGAGCTCCTTCTTATTCTGATTCCTCCTTGTTAACAGTATTTTTTTTCATGAATATAAATCTTTTATCTCTTTGAACATCCTAATTATAATTGTGCTTTTTTGGAGTAATGTTTTTATGGCTCTGAATTTTATCTGTTTCCTCTCAGTTTCTTTTACTCCCTCTTTATTTGTTTTTTTCTCTTACATGTTGAAAGATTTTCTCTGAAAGCTTTGGCTATCAGGTCATACTTAAGAATGGTGGGGACCAAAACTGATCCCTGGAACCTAGGTCTTTATAAAATCCTGGTCCTGTTTCTATGTATATGTTTCTATGTATATGTTAAAAAAAAAAAAAAACCCTCCAAGTTAAAGTTGAGAAGTTTGTGTCCAATGGCAAAGTCATTGGAAGAAATGTCCAAATACCTTCCTTACCTTGGTATATTTAATACTATAAATGGCAAGAGGTATCATCAGAAACTGCTAGAAAAAGTATACATGGCAACTCAGTAATCCTTATTAAGCTTAAAGTATTTACATCTGATTATATTGTTTGTAACACACATTTTATAAAAATGTATCTAGAAATTTTTATATACTCTTTAATAATAAAAAGTTGACTGTATTAATATAAGTAGTATTTAATTATTTTTTCTGAGACTATTATTTTTGTTAAATCTGCACTTAACCACATCACTTTTAAAACTTGTTTGGGCTGGGAAAAAGAAGTGCTGTAGTTTGTGAAGTAAGCAGTATGAGAGACATCTAGTGGCCAGACTACACACATTTAAATGTTCTTCAAAGTTCTTAGCACAGTTTAACAGAATATTCACATTTTCCCCTCAGAAAGCTTAATGTTCTATCATGTTCTTAGAAATTACCTTAACCATTCTCCAGTTTACATTTTACCATAATCACAGGAGTAAACATTTATATAGTCAGCTTCTTCCAAAGTACTTCAATACTAACATTTTTAATAAATCATTAAAATAACATACCTGTAAATGAAGATGACTGAGAATGTATTGAGCCCTTATTAAGCATAGTCATTATCTGACCAACAAATTCCTTAGGAATAAAATTGGCATAAGGTAGTATCTCAGTGCTGATAAGCTGAACTACCTAGAACAAAAGAGGCAAACTCAAATGCATTTTGTTTTTCTTGAAAGAGACCAACTCAAATGACAGTATCTAGAGTAAAACCTAAATTTTATTTTAAAAGAAAATCAGCTAAAGAATCTTCCTTGAAGTACACAAACATTTTAATGTTAACATACAGGATGAGTAGTCCATTTCCCTCATTTGTCTTAGTAATAATAATAAATTTATTACAAAATAGTCAATACTATAGACTGTTTACTATGCAACCATTTTAGTAAATGTTGATGTTATATGAAATGTATCCATGCTAGAATAAACTATCCAAAACAGAATTAAGAATAAGATTGAAATCACTTTTTATAACCATAAATGAGACAAAAGAGAAAGGAAAATTACATTCATTTTTGTTAAATAGCTCATTTCTAATATATAATGTGTTATTTTGCCCTTTGATGAAAAAGAAGAAAAGTTTACAAGAGTTTTAATACAGAAATGGACAAAAAGCAGTATTTTATACGTATACTTTTTTGATATACTTTAAAGTAATTTACTTCATTTACTTAAAAGTTCTTTTATCCTGCTTAAAGGAAAATCATCAAACCACCACCCCCAACAAAAAAAATCTATAACCAAAAAAACTACTTCTTTAAAGTCAATTTATAATCAACAAAATATATTCTTTAACAAGCTCTCATTATGTGCTTCAAGAGTTTGAGAGGCTCTATCTACAGCTGGTTAAAAACAAAAATCTAAACAACTTATTGATTAGTTTGAACGACAAACACCTGGTTTGCCAAACTGTAGCACAAACTCTCAAATGCGTGCTCAATGACTGAGATTTTACTGAATCAACTACTTTTTAAAATTATTAAATGGACACAACTATGGATCTAGACAACATACACACAGCACAAAGCTAACAAATAAAAGGAAATCATGTCAGTGCTTTAAGAACCAACCTTTAATCTCTGTGAGAGTTTTAAAGCTTTTAGGTTCAATCTTAACTTACTAACCCTACTTGTTCTTTTAGCAATTTCGTAATTTCAACATTTCTACTATTTGGTTTGCACAAATGGTTACAGGAAAATGTTTTAAACAGCTTCCTCACCTCAACGTCAATACTTTCATTTCTCTGAAATTCTTGAATAGAGAGATTATCTGGAGGTATGCTAAAAAATAAATAAAACACTTGATTTTTAAAAGTAACATGTTCCCTAGAAATGAGCAGTATTCAAATGACAAAAAGGATTTATTTTCTCACCCAGGTTAGACATTACCATTTATTTAAAAGAACAGTATTTTTAATTAAAGTTATTAGTATAATAAGGACTATACCAATTACAAACATGAATTTCTTAACTACAAAAAATGCTTGGTCCAATCCTGAATTAAATAAAATCTGTAAAATTAAACTCCTTTCAGTATTATGAATGAAAAAAACAATAAAAAGTGAGGGTATTACTATCATCTGCAGCTACAACAAAAATTACTACTGTGAGGATACCTGAATTCACTTACACTGCCAGTGACTTAAAAGAGTCTTGGTTATCTGCTGAACCCATTCACTCAGAGACTGGCCATTAATCACTAATTTGTAATAAACATAATGTATTAAAGATCTTTACATTAAAGATAGAGAACATCTAAAACAAAACAGGGCTGATTCAGACTTTCTAAAGCAGAAAATTATTCCAGCAAGATCAATGGAAATCAGTTATTCTGAGAGAACCAAGGTGAATTCTAAACCATGTGGCTCCTAATTAGAATGAGTGGTAAAATGGTATTAAACTTACAAAGCAGTGAAATATTTACTTAAAAACAGCTGAGAATAAGATGTTAATGATTGTTACAGTAATGACAGCGAAAAATTACAGAGCCAGCCACTGTACTAAGAGCTTTAATTTGTATTATTTCATAAGTTCCCAGAGTAACCACATGTAGCAAGTATTATCCTCATGTAATTGACAGAAGAGGAAACTGAGGCTTTGAATGCTGGTAAAATGACCAAGAATGTACTGTAAGCAAATGACAAGGCCGCAATTTGACCCTAAACTTCTCTGGTATTTGAGCCTAAATTCTTCTCTTTCATGTTGTAAATGTAAAAGCAGTGTTATCTTAGATTTAGAGTTATAATATACAGTTTTGTATCTAGGGCTATTTTTGCTCTAGCATTATTTGGTTTTTCTATTTATAAGTATTAGAATACACACAAGCACTCGTGCACATGTACTCTGTTATGGGTACCAGATCTTTACTTGATTTAGATGTTTTTCATTCAACAAATATTTATTGAGTATCAGATGCTTTGTACCATATACAGCATATATACAGCATTGAGTTTGAGCAAGATGGTGTTCAAGATCCTGCTGTGAACAAGATGCACTTAGTCTCTGTTGCATGAAACTTGCATTCTGGTGTGCAAGTCCTAGACTAATTCTATAATCTGCTAGTAGGAAACTACGGGAAAAATTTTAATGACATGTACCCAAACTGGAACCAATGCTGGGAATTTCATAACTGCTACAACTAATGTAGCTTCACAGATCCTATCTGTATCTCTGGAGATAAAAGCTGTGTTTAATTCTAATTTATAATCAAGTAATATAAGTGTTCAGTGATACAAAAAAAATGGTGATAATGGTGGAGGTAACTGAGGATGGGCTATGAATTAAAAAAAAAAGCTTATTAGGAACAGACAGTAATAATATAAATGTGACAGGGATCATGTATCAAACACTGAAGTGGATCTTAAAATATGTTATGAGGAAAGAAAGCATACAAAGTCAGAAACTCAAAAGTTCACTCCTAATTCCAGCGATCAAAAAAATCAGGAAATTATTTGATGATGCATAGGTTAAGTATTCTGGTCTCAAAACTCAAACTAATGGTTATTTTTTTTAACTTATAGTTAGTATCCTTACTAAACACTTTGAGCATATCAAAAAAATTGGTTGAGCTTCTAAAAAACTGATGATTAACACAGTTTACCTATAAATTATAAGTAGAGATGGTGAATATTGCAGGTAGAAATGGGCCATATAAGATCCTTAGTTCTCTAAGATGGAGGTAATTTTAAAAATTATCTTCACAAATATTTAGTTGAAATAAAATAACTGATAAAGTATGATTTGTATTTTTTGTCAGTTCTCTCTGCATGGTACATTCAAAAAGTGTAATGAGATACAATTTCATATACTATAAAATTCACCTTTTAAATTATATAATTCAGTGCTTTTTAGCATCTGCACAAAGTTGTGCCACTTCTAATTCTAGGATATTTTCATCACTCCTGAAACACATTCTGTACTTTGACCAGTCACTCCTCATCCTCTCCTCTCCCACCTGTAGCAACCATTAATCTACTTTCTGTCTTTACACATTTGCCTATTCTGGATATACCCCATAAGTGACATCATACAATATATGGACTTTTGTGTCTGGTTTCTTTCACATAGCATAACATCTTCAAGATTCATCTATACTGTAGCATGCATACATCAGTATTTTATCCTTTCTTATGGCTGATATTCCAATCTGTGGACATACCACATTTACTTTATCCACTCATCAGGTGATAAACATTTGGATTGTCTTCATTTGGGGGCTATTATGACAAATACCACTATGAATATTAGTGAACAAGTTTTTGTGTGAACATGTTTCATCTGAATTCTTTTGGGTAGTACTTAGTGATTTTTAACTTAAGGTCCACAGACCATTTGTATGAATTCCCCCCCAGCCCAAGTGTATTCTAGAGGACAAGCACCATGTTTCAGTACTCCAAGGATGACTGAATGAACTCCTAATAAACTTCAAGTGTCTACCAGATTACAGTCTTTATGTTTTTCATCTTTAATCATGTTTTTTCTTTTTCTCCTTTCAACTATTTATTTATGATAGTCTTCAATGATCTCCAAAGCCTTCGTTTTCTTCTAGCTAATTTTGATTTTATTTGTATTTCTTTGTTATTATACTGCCTTGCCAAAACAGCTTAAAGAACAAAAGAAAGCTAAGCATTATAAAGGCATGGTTATTCAAAGTCTTAGAGTGTATATTAAGTTAAAGGACTTATAAATGTTCCAAGATGAAATATGCTCAAATATTAGTATTATATAAAAACTAAGGCCTTATTATTCCAAGCAACATTCTGAAACACCCTACTGTTCAATATTACTGATGAACTTCAGTTATAGAACAAGTACATATATGACATAAAATAATATTTTGTGATTTCCAAAGTAATCAATTATTTGAAAAACAAAAAACAAAACCTCATGAAACTGAAAATGTGCATTGTTTTAAGTTCTCCTAGTGAGCACTGCCATTTTTAGCTTCAGCTAACTAATGCAAGTTTTCAATTTGAGCTTTAAAATATTTTTTGGACTATGAAATAAAAATGACCAGTCCAAGGTCAACAGGAAGTAGGTGATAGAGTCCAAAGTAGGTCATGACTTTCAATGTAGGGTATGTCTCTACTACTCCATGTAGTAGAAGGCTTAAATCTATAAGTAGAATAACTACAACTGAGAACACTGATTCTGTGTTACTGACAGCTGAAGTCAGTATCTTTATTATTTTCTAGCCATTATACACAATTCCAAATTTAGAAGTAAATTTCCTACTCCTAGTTATTTACAGTTTTGGTCTTTAAAATTCTAGCTTAAAATATGGCTTTTTGATGGGAAAGGATACGGATAGCATCACTTTCTCTTAAGGAAAGGAAATAATGAGGATAATAATAATGGTAGCAAGCATTTTAAAAGCACTTACATGCCAGGTACTACTCTAAGGAGTCATTTATTTTAAGTGACTTAACCCTCATAATGACCCTATGAGTTAAGTATAATTCCCATTAACAGATAAGGTAATGAGTTCCTGAGAGGTTAAGTAACTTGTCCAAAACATCTCAGTTATAAAGTAATACAGTCAAGGTTTGAATCCAGATGGCCCCACTCCTAAGTCAGTGCTCTTACCCACTATGCTGTCTGCTTTCTTAAGTAATATGATTTTCAACATACTCAATACACCCAAAACTTTAATGTAAGCAGGGCTGTGGTTGGGCTAAAAACTATAATGAATTATAGTACGACTGCATTAATACAAAATGACATAAGATGTGCAGTTTCTATTATTAGGCCTTTTGTTTCATTGCCTACTTTATTGTACACAAACACATAAAAATTAATTTCAGAAAACTGAACTTAATAAAATAAGAATAAAGTTTGGAAAATGAAAAATGTTCAATAAGAAACCTGAGAATTAAGTAAGATGGTAGAAAGACCCAGCCAAAAGAAAACAAAGAAGTTTTACTCATTGCCAAAAAACCTGCTCTAAAAGGTTATATTATTATGGGACACCTGGCTGGCTCAGTTGGTGTAGCGTGCACCTCTTGGTCTTGGGGTTGTGGGTTCAAGCCCCATGCTAGGTGTAGAGATTATGTAAAAGTAAAATCTTTAAAAAATAAATAAAAAGAAAAATAAATAAAAATTTTAAAAAAATAAAAATAAAAAATAAATAAAAATAAATAAAAATAAAATAAAGCAACATGAATATACAGACAACTGAGAAGGAAAAAGAAAAGTTTAAATCTCTAAACCTATTTGATTCATACAAATTAATATAGTGATTTTGGGCAATGGAATCCACAAAGAAATTCAAATTTTCAGAGTTACAGATAAAAAGATAATTTGTTTCAATGTGCTTTGAGTCCTTATAATTTTCCTGCAAATACAGAGTATGCTTACATTGGTATTTACAAGATGTCTAGAGATGAGATACATAAGAAAGTAAACAAGGGGTACTTGGGTGGCTCAGTCAGTTAGGCGTCTGACTCTTGATATGGGCTCAGGTCGTGATCTCGTGGTCCTATAATTGAGCCCTACCTTGGCTCCACGCTGAGTGTGGAGCATGCTGAGGATTCTCTCTCTCCCTCTCTCTCTGCCCCTCCTCTGCTTGTGTTCTCTCTCTCTCTCTCTCTCAAATAAACTTAAAAAAAAAAAGAAAAGAAAGTAAAACAAAATCTGACCATTTGTGGAAACAGAAATTA